TCTAACATACCATGACCATACTTCCCACTTTCATTGCCCAACCTTTCTTTAAAATTTTCTTAAGTCCAATGCTTAATTAAAGGCAATGAACTATCAACTGTACTTCCTTCCACCTTAATTCTATGAAAATAAACTATCTGCAGTAATAAAAGACAACCAGGAAAATACTTCTGTGTAAGAGAACAACTTGACAATTTCTCACATAAGTCATCTAATACATACTGACACCAGTTGTATGTACTGATTTTGTTAACATCCTCTAAAGCTAAAACTAGCTTAAAGTCAGCAGATCGATTTGATGTAGGAGCAAGCAGAGTAACCATAATATACATGACAAAGCATCTTTTAAAATCATCATTTCCTTTTTTTATCCCATCATCACTTATCATTTTATTCCACAAAAGGGGGACTGAAATATCAAGGTTTTTACTCCCATACAAGTTCCTCCAACCAGTCTTCAAATCAGAATTCTGCTTTTTAAGAGAAATAGGAACAGGTGTTGTTCCCATTGGAATCATAAAGACGTCATAAACATCAGCTGCTGTAAGCTGAAAGTTTTTTCCAGAAGGTAAATTAAAGATACAAGTTGCAGGATCAAAACAACTACAAAGCCAACGAATCATTTCTGTTGGAAAGGTACTTAACTTGATCAATGATATATTCCCAAACCTAATAGATTCAACTGCTTGCTTTTGATCTTCAGATAACTTCTTATATATGTCTAAAACACCAGACGGTCTACATCTCAAAACAATTACATCCTCCCTAAAACAAAACAAAATAAAAAATCAATTTCAAATTGTAGTTATACACTACAAATAATCAGTAACTCTATTTCACTTCCAACTCATAATTATTAAAAATCGTACAAACAATCCATAAAAGTAAACTATAATCAACAAACAAGTAACCAATAATCAATAAACAAGTAACCCATAATAATAAAACATGTAACCAAAACTAAACCATATTACAGAAACAACATATAAAAGCTATAAAACAGAATAAATGTATTAATCAGGATAATGTTTCATACCCCTCTTCAAGTTTTACAACTTCGACCACTTGACTATCTTGAGTAGCAGTTGCAGCAGCTCTTCGACCTTTGCGTCCTCTTTTAGCAATGGCAGGTTTAAGATCAGGTTTAACATCCTCTACTGGAGTATTATCAACTTCATCAGCTTTCATATCCTCTGTATTCACTTTATCAGATTTCAAACCCTCTACATTTACATCATCCTCAACATTCACACTATGCTCTGCATTCACACCAGCATTTGCATTATCTTTTTCTAAGTTAACATCCTCAACATTTAAATTGTCAGAATTGGCATTAACATCCTCAGCATTCAATTCCTTCTCTTGTTCAATATCACCTATAGCATTATGTTTTTCTGTTCAATAAACAAATTCAAAATAAATTAGAATACTTGTTTGAGTTAGTGATACACACTATAATAAGTCAAACTAAGACATTATATATTAATTACAAGTACAATCAATACAAGTAACTCTATGTATAACAAATACAAGTAACCATTAATAATACAAGTAACAATAGATTACAACAAATACAAGTAACCATAGTTTTAAAATAAATACAAGTAACCCAATATAAGTAATTCAAAACGAGTAACTCAATACAAGTAACTAAATACAAGTAACTCAATACATGTAACTCAATACAAGTAATCAAGTAAGAGTATAATACTCAGTGTAAAATTCATCAAAACAAGTAACTCAATACAAATAACTAAATACAAGTAACTCAATAGATGTAACCATAACATTTACATCCTTCAATAAGGAACTACTAATACAAGTAACACTAGTTTACAAAAAATACAACTAATCCTATACAACTAACCAAATACAAAACACAAAATTTAAATACAAAAAAGCAATTAAAGTAACACAATATAAGATAGTAATACAAGTAACCATAGAAATAATGACTAATAAAAATAACAGTAACCCTAAAAAAAAATTAAAAAAACTCAACAAAGTTAAGCATATCCTACAACTAAAATCAAGATATAATACAATTCAAGAAATACAAATTAAGCATTTAAAACAATAAAACAGATTGAAAACAGAATAATCGCAAAATTAAAAGTAAAAAACCTAACATCAAACACGTAACCCTAACAAAAAAACACACAAAAATTTAAAAACAAAAACAAAATTAAATGAATTAAACAACAAAATATAGGTAAAATACTTTAAATCTAAGTCGAATAACAATAAAAAACAACAATAACACAAAATCAAAACAAAATACAAATAATCTTTGATCTAAACACTCGAAAAACAACAACAATGTGCAAAATTATCAAAGAAATACAAATTAAAATTTTAAAAATACCTGTTTCAACAACATTTGTACAAGAAGACGATCCTTTCTTTCCTTTGCGATTGATAATCTTGAATTTAACCATTTTGAATCAGAAAATTAAACTTAGATGACACAAAAAACAAGTTAAACTCATAACGAAGGCAAAGCAATAAAGAGAGTAAATAATTTAGAGAGAGAAATGAGAGAGAAAATTGCAAGATGAGAGAGAAAATAGAAAAAAAAAACTGTGATAATGGCGGTTGAATGAAGAGGCAACTCTATAATAATGGCGGTTTTAGGAAAAGAGATACAAAAACACAATTTCAAATCAAACGATTTTAAAAAAAATAACGGGGTACCAAATGGGTCCGTTATTTTTTACATAAAAGTCCGTTATATTTTGGGCTTCGAAACTTTGGGCCCGTTATATAGGCTGGCCACACCATGTGGCCAGCCACATACAAAAATTTTCCTATCGTATAATGTGAAACTAACACTCCGTAGATACAAAATCAAATTCTATCTTATAGGAAAATAATATATTATTATTGTATTTGTAAGTGATATGTTTTCCATATATCCTATACAAGGATTAATACGTATTTGGGATTAAGCCGTTTATAAGAAGTACACTAATCATTGACCCCCTAAAAAGTGTCCACGTAAATTAGATGCCACATTAAGCCTAAACTTGTTTAATTAGCAAGGCAACCCTATTTGTAAATCGAAAAAAGTTATTATCGAGTTATTTACTTATTTAGGTTCTGTTTGGCAAAAGTAACGGTAGCTTTTAGCAGTCGAGTAGCAGGTAGCAAGTAGTGGTCAATTAGAAGTGGGTAGATGTTAGCCGTCAAAATAACGGTTGATAGTATGATTGTTTGGCAAAAGCAGCGGGTGCAATACTAAAATATATAGTTAAATTATATAAATATTGTTTAAAAAGTAATAAAAAGTTTGTCAAACGCTACCCACTACTTCTAAACGCTACTTTTTAAACGTTTGAGAAAAGCTACCTAAACGCTACCTCTATCGCTAACCACTACAAGAATCACTACCTTGTCAAACACTCTCAGATTTTTTCTAATAGTATTTTGACTGATCATCAAAACGCTAACCGCTACCTCAAACACTACCAAGTACCACCTAACAGGCTAACAGGGCCTTAGGGATCGGAGCTATCCTTCTTTAGGTGTCGGCTCAAGTCTGAGTTATATATCTCGTAAGTGAGTGACCGATAGCTTGGTTGCACATATGGTTGGGGCAAGTCCGCAAGTGAGCGAACAATAGCACAAATAATATTTTAGCACAAATAATATTCCATATAAAAAATTATTAGATTGTCTTTGATTTTTATATTTTATTACTTAGTAATTTATGATGAAAGATATGTTTTTATGATCTAATTTATAAGTATGCACGGGAAAATAAATAATATATTCAATTCATTTCATTCTAATAATTTTTTAAATTTCGTGCATCGCACAGGTCTAATCGAGTAACAGTTAATGTTTAGGGTATTTTTACCCTAGACACGTGGACCAATGAGAGGCTGCCACGTGTCGAGATCAGGATGACCCATGTGGCTCAAGATCCTCTTGAGTCTTGACACTTGGCGCCCTCAGATATGTTTCTGAAATGGCGGCTTTCAAAGGCCCAAACTCCTAGGAGCGCCGTAAAACGGCGCAGCCCAGTAGAATCTAGGTCAAGTGACGTAGGTAGGGGCACCTTTTCCAACGACCCTATAAATAGGGAGATATTTCCCCATTTTGGGGACACATTCAATCATTTTATTACACCCTTATTCTCTTACATCAGAGAAAGACCTGAGCTTGGAATCCGAGCAGATACCCACCTAAATTTCCGTTCTCTCTATTCCGTTTCAAGTTACTAACTTGTGCGTCGGAGGCGGAGCACCACCCAACCGGTGTCTCCGTTTGTTTTGCAGGTACAGTTCACTGCGGATCAGTTTTCGTGTTGTAACTCTTCCAAGGGACAAAAACACCCAAAACAGTTAATAAAAGTCATTAAAGTTTAATTTACAATCAAAATAAGTTTTTATTTTTATTTTTTTTATTTATATAGGTTGTCCAATTACTTTTGCTGAATCAAAATAGGTTATCAATTTTTTTTTGAAGACAGGTTATCAAATTATTTTTGCTGAATTTAAATTATTTTTACTGAACATAAATTAATTTTACTGAACTAAAATTATTTTTTCTGAACTAAAATTATTTTTTTTTACTGATTTTCTGTTGTAATTCTTCTTTAAGAAAACTGAATTTTATTGAATTGAATTTATTTTTACTGAACTGAAATTATTTTTGATGAACTGAAATTAATTTTACTGAACTGAACTTATTTTTACTGAACTGAAATTAATTTTACTTAATAGTATTTTTTGGGAAATTCTCATTGGTAGCCATCAACTTTTGCTTATTTCCATTGGTAGCCACTTTGTATATGAATTATCTTTAGTAGCCTTCAACTTTTAAAATGTTACTTCCGTAACCTTTTTTGAAATTGTTACCCACCTATTGTAGGTGGGTTTACTTCCGTAACCTTATATGGTTAAAAACATTAAAATAAAAGTTAATTTTGATTAGAGTCATTTTTTTTTGAAAGATTTGATTAGAGTAATTTTAATTATTAATTAATCTTTAAAATTAATAATTAAAAAAATCCTTTCTTCCTTCCCTCTCCTCCATCCCCGTGCTGTTTCCTCTTTCTCTCCTCCCTTTGCTAATTACTAGTAATTAATTCTCTTTAATTCTCCCCCAAATTGTTTGATGAAAGGTAGATCTAAGCCTCATTATAGCTTACTTTTACTCTCTGAGTTCTCCATCGATACGGCTTTTGAGCTTTCTCTCTTCCATTGAAATAGTTTGTGAGGTAAGATGGTTTTTGTAATCTTCGAATAACAATTCCCTTTGAAGCGTAATCCATGTTCTCCATGGTGGTTCAATTGTGGTGAGGGCATGGTGGTGATATTTGACTCGATTGCTGGGTGGGATTGATTGGGCTAAAGTTGGAGCTTGCGGCGCTGCTCGGTAGTGCGACGGTTTGGTGCTGCTGGCTGCGGGTTGGTGCGATGATCGTTGGTTGTTCAACAGCTTCTATGTGACGGTTGTGGGGAGTTGTCCGGTTGCTGGCTGGTGTTGTGGGTTTGGTGCGTGAAGGAGCAGGGGAGGCAGCATGAGTAGTAGTGTGGAGGGACGGCTGAGGCTGGGGTATCGGGAATTGGGCGCCGGCGGGAAAGGGTAGGGCGGTGCCGACAGCGGAGGGGGAGAGGAGAGGGGGTGGCTGGAGTACTGGTTGGGAAAGGGTGTTTTTTTTATTTATTTATTTTTTATTAATCAAATTATAATATAATTAACATTACTTAAACTTATTTTAATTTTTATAAAACTAAACCTCAGTTAAACTTAACAGCCAATTAACAGTTTTTAACCATATAAGGTTACGGAAGTAACATTTTAAAAGTTGAAGGCTACCAAAGATAATTCATATACCAAGTGGCTACCAATGAAAATAAGCAAAAGTTGATGATTATCAACGAGAATTTCCCTTATTTTTTTAGGGTGAAGTGAACAAGACCTAACTATATCTTTTTAGCTTCAAAATACAAATTCGAGGGCATAGTAAAGGCCAATTTAATCATATGCATGCATGTACAAAAAAAAAAAAAAAAAAAAAAAAAAATAAAAAAAAAAAAAAAAGAGCTATTTTAATTAATCTCATATAACAAACCAAAACAGAGATAAAAACATAGGTGAGTAAAGTTTCTTTCTCTTATTCAACTAATTACATTCTAAAAACAACTACGAAACCCACTTAAATTTATACACACAAAATTACAAAGTCATAACACAAACTTCTCTAGAATGACCTAGTCCTAGGACTAAACATACTTAACTCTTCCCTTCCATACTTGAGCCTCCTCACTTCCTCCCTAGACATATCATAAGAACTCATGAGCACCTCATCCGGCATGCCTCGGATGGCCGATAGCTTTCCGGCCAAAGGACTAATCATCGCGTTGTCATTGGTCTTAAACGACACCCATTCTAGCCCTTCTTGTTCTGCCTTCTTTACCACCACAAAGTTCTGTGGGACTACCAAGAGCTGCCCTTCTTGGACTCGGTCATCAAATACTAACCGCCCGTTTTCTCGGGCTACTTGGATCCGACCCGTACCCCTTGTTATGTAGATTATGCTGTGGGCGTTTATGTTCCAGTGGGGTGTCATCAGTGCATTCTACACACAATAATATGAAAAAGTTAAATTTCCTTTCAATAAATAATTGTTCATATAACTATACAAGCAGTACTATGATAATTTCAAAAAGTTGTTTAAATTACATTTTTTTTTTCCTACGTACACATTTAATCATAAATAGGTATCATTAATTTTGTACATATTTTAAATAATTTACAAGTTTTTGATATTATAAAAATACACATTAAAAACCATAAAGACATCCATATGTATAAAAATACACATTAAAAACCATAAAGACATACATATGTATAAAAATACACATTAAAAACCATAAAGAACTTACAAGGTTTTTTATTTTTTTATTTTTTTTTAATATTAATTTAACACGTGTTAAATTCTATTTTCATTAAAATTTAGAAAGATTTCAAATAAAAAAAGAGCAACAAAAAGAAACAGAACGAGTACAATTTATATAGACAGATGTTTTACCTTGTAGAGCACTCCCCTCTCAACACTGAGTTGCAGATATTGCAAGAGGGGAAGTTTACGGCCATTAATGGTGTTAATACGACCACCATGCTTGGTAAAAACATCAGCAAGCGAAGGTTGATCGATGTTTTGTTTAAAGCTTAAGGAGCATAAGGTTTGTTCCAACCCATTTAGTCTCCTTGTTCTCTCCTCTTCTATGTCATCCCATTCAGGGCTTAATATCTCGAGATCACGTTCGACTCGAATAATGCTGCCTCTCTCATCGTTCTCGCCCTTCATACTCCTTACTGTCTCGGTGTCTACATTGTAAGCATCGGCTAACAGATCATCGTCGAAGCCATTGAAGATGTTCTTCCCTGCAACTTCTTTAGGGCCTCGCTCTTGACCTCCTTGGGGATTTCCAGCTAGGTAGAAACTCTGTATTTATGAAAGGGAGATGTAAAATTGAAATAATTCAAAATTTTATTCACCACTAATATACATTTTCACGTATTATGTTCACATTTTAATTTTAGTAGATACTCTGTCCGAAATTAATAGTCACATATACTATTTTAGGATGATAAAATAAGCCGTGACAGTTTAGAAAAAATAGTGGTAGCCTATGGTTTATGAGGCTTATCTTAAGACGTACCCTAAAATTGAGATCAAGCTGGTTATGAGGATTGCTAAGGTCGAGCAAGGTGACACTAACAATAGGGGCATCCCCATCATTGTAAGTCCACTGAGCAACACCGGCAGGTGATCCTATAACGTCACCTTCTTGAACTCGGAAAACCCTCTGGTGTTGATCACGTTGTCCTACTCGAGACGTAGCCGAACCTAGTGGTGACTCGAAGGTCTCAGGGCACCCTGGGACTATCACTCCTTGTATACCCCTCCCTGCACCAAAAAAAAAAAAAAAAAAAAAAAAACCCAAAACATTTTTTTTAAACATCATGTTATTAGAATAAGATATTAGAAATTAAATTTTGGTACAACAAGAAAATTAATACTCCATATTATGTAACAAGCACTTAAATGTTGATTAAATATTTACCTCTGTTTTTTTAGTTATGCTTTCTTTTTAAAAAGTTTATTTTTGGTTGATATGTTTTTGGGTAAACTTTTTCTCTTCCATTTACTAGTGTACCTCACTTGCTTTATTATTCTATCTCATCTTCTTAATATGTGTGCCTAAATTAAACATGACAACTAATAAAAACGGTGGAAGTAGTACACTACCTTGTGTTACGTAGGTGACATAAGGAGCATTGGTGTAGGAAGGCAAGAGAAGGCCTTTAGGCTCAATAACATAACGGACAGCCGCAACCCCAGCACAACGGAACTGCTCACTGTTAGATTCCCAAACCTCGATCACCCCGGCCTCAGCCCTAAGACGGCAAGTTGGCTCAGCCGCTTGCAGCTGCTGGATATCGCAATCATGTTGCCATTGCTGGCCCCTTGGTTGTTGCGGCCGCCTTTGCAGAAATGGTAGCTGAGCAAAGGAGGGAGTAATAAGGAAAACAAGAAGGCATAGAGGTACTAAAAAGAGAATTGCGTTATTATTATTAGTGGTGGTAAAAGCCATTGTAGATTAAAGGCAATTAATGAATTAGAGAAAATATTAAGGGGATTGGAATATATATAAGGATAGTTTCAATGACACGTTAATGGTGAGCATGTTGGTAGTCTTCTATATTCTATGCATGTATGCCAAGCGCTTATGTCTAACACTTGGATGGTGTGATGCATGAGTTTTTGATCTTGTAGTTTCATGGCTCTGTATATGAGGTGTTAAAGTGGAGAAGCAATGTTTGATTTGCTCTTCCTATGTTCTATGGAGTGATTGTAGCAATGTGTAAGTTGAATCAAATAAGTATTTAAAATAAGGTGTAGATCATTATGCAAAAAGATTATTCAAACTACACTTATGTAACTTCACTCTAGCTTTTATATTTAAAAATTGTAATAAATCTTGAGGCTTGAACTTGTGACCACTATGTCACAAGCTAAATGAGCTCCCCACATCGTTTTCTCCAAATATGCTAAGGTGTTAACAAGTCATCTAATTTTATTTGGTCCATAATTTTTGAATCCTAATTTTTGTGTTTTCATCTTTTAAATTGATTTCATTTCAATTAAATTGAGAAATATTCCTAATTACAATAACACTATCAAATAAATACTTATTTTTTTGGTAGGTAAAGAGAAAATAACACTGAACCAAAATCTCACTTAAGTCAACACAATTGTAAATAAGAAACTAGAATTAGTCCACAAATTGTGAGGAACAATCCTTACTATTACCATGTCAACAATAGTCAACAAATTGTTAGCTTAATTTACAGGCAGCAAACAAAGTTTAAATTAGATAGATACAATTTTAGTTATACTTAATTGAAAATTCATTCAATTCAATTTTAAGCTAATTTCCGTATGGTTTTTTTTTTTAAAAAAAAAAATAAATAAAAAATTGAAACCCTAGGCCGTGACACAACTAATTTTAGGATTGATACAAGACAATATGCGCGCATCGTTAATTTGAAACCCCTCTAAAATCTCTAACTGAACTACCAAACCCTCTTAGGGTGTGTTCGGTAAAATTAGTTGTGAATGAAGGCAAACGTTAGTTGTGGTAGTATCTATTAGCTGTATAGGTAACTATTAATTAACTGACGATATGGTGAACATCTAGTGGTGGTTTGAAATTAATTTGTGAACGTCTAGTGGTGGTTTGAAATTTCTACGCATTTCCGCCTTAGGGGTTGTTCACATTTACTGAATTGAATTGATTGGAGATGAACTGAACTGATTGGAGCTGAATTGAACTGAACCGGACTTAATAGAGCTGAAATGAATATTTTATGAGAGAAGAAAATTAGGAGCTGAACTGAACTGAACTGATTGGAGCGAGCTCAATTGAACTGAAATGAAATTATGATGAAGTAAACATACCCTTGTTTTTACGAAAAAAGGCATTTTAACCCATACTGAAAAATTAAAAAAAAAAACATTGCCTCCAGCGACGCCATCTACGAGTATGACAACGACCTTCCCTTTATCCCTCCTCAGCATATCCGCCCATAAATCAGGTTGATCTATGTGGGGGTGGTGGTAAAAGGAGGAGGTGGTGGAAAATTTATATGACCAAAGACCATCTATGAGGGATAATGGCTGCCTAAAGAAGATAGTAATAGGAATAAGCGATTGAATAATTTTTTTCTAATCTAGTTAGTGTGTCAATATATTCAAGAATGATGGTCACTATGATAAAATGCAATGAAATAACTTCACTTATGGTAGTGGTGGTTTAGAGAGAGTTAAATTATAAATAAAGGTAAGTTCATGAAATAAATTTTATTTTAAGAGTGTTAATTGGAGTTTCCTTGGCGATATTTTATTTAATTAGTTAAATAGTGATTTGACTTGTTTAAAGTCAAACCACTAAAAATAAACACGCCCTTAAGAGACACTAAAGACAAATCCTTAATTCCTCCTTACGATTGTATTACCCTTTTAAAAAAATGAAACAGTATAAAGCTGCCACATAGAGCTTGTCCGTCCAGAAACATCCAGATAACTTATGGCGTCGGTTACTCTAACCACCGCCACAACCACCACCATCTTCGCCGCTTTCGTCGGAAACAATGGCAATTCTACTCGCTTCAACTTCATGCGCCGCCCCTTTTTGCCGCATTTTAGTAGGCGGAGAAGCACCGCTGCGAATTTCGCCATTGAAGCTAAGCTTGGAGAAACCCAGAAAACCTCTTTGAAATTCAATAAACTTGGCGACTCTGATCTTCTCATTAGCGAAATTACCCTCGGCACTGTATATTCTTCTTCTCTCTCTTACTTTCAATTATATTCATGCAATTTTGTGTTTTAGTTGTATGCTTAGTATTATTATTACTCATAATTTGGTAGAATTTTTTCTAAGTTCTTTTGAATGATGTTGGAAATTAACTTACGGGAACGATTAGGTTTACGTGGTTCACTAACGATGTGTTAGCTAGGGCCGCTAGGCAAATGAGTGGGAGAATAATTGTTGTTGAAGAGTTCAAATCATAGAATTAGGCTAATTTAAGAATTAAAGAGTTTTAGTAGTTGAATTATCCCTTTTGAATTTGATTGAATTTCTAGGTTATTTTGAATGATAAAGGAAATTTACTTATGGAAACTGTAGGTTTACGTGGTTCACTAACGATGTGTTAGCTACATTCACTAGGCGAAGAGAGGGAGTTTTATTGTTGAAGAGTCCAAATCATAGAATTAGGCTAATTTATAAGAATTAAAGAGTTTTAGTGGTTGAATTACCCCTTTTATTGAATTTCTAGGTTATTTTGAATGGTAAAGGAAATTAACAAATGGGAACTATTAGGTTTACGTGGTTCACTAATGATGTGTTGGCTAGGGTTGATAGCCAAAGAAGAGGGGGTTTTATTGTTGTCGAAGAGTCTAAATCATAGAACTAGGCTAATTTAAGAATAAGATAGTGTTACTTGTTGAATTACCCCTTAACATAAAAGCATTGTGATAAATTACTTGTTGAATGAACTTATTTCAAAGTATTTGTGGAGACTTGAGAGTAACAATGTAATTTTTAGAAACTTCATCTGGGTCATTCTGTCATACAGTGACACCCACTAAAAGTAGCAAAAATAAATGCAAGAAATTAAGCTTAATTCTCTCCATTTTTTTGCAAGATAACAATAAAACCCAGAAATATACAATGAGATCTTTGTTAAAATTTCACAAGAAACAGAGCTATGAATCAAAACCCAGTTATATAGTGAACAATTATGTTGAAGATCACTAAAGTGTTTCATGTTCTTTTTTCATTTTGGACAAATAGACTTAGGTTTTTACTTGTTGACCATTCTTGTGAATGGGCTGCATTCAATGCTTATTATTTGCATAAACATTCTTTTCCATATTTTTTCTAAAAATTTAAAAGTTCATCTTACTACTGTTTCCAGATGACATTTGGACAACAAAATACAGAGAAAGAAGCTCACGATATTCTCAGTTATGCATTTGATCAGGGCATCAACATTTTAGACACTGCAGAAGCTGTAAGCATTCCATCCCTTGCTGTACCTACCTTATTTTCTGTATCTACCTTGATTCACAAGCAAGCAGTGCCTTTCACTAGCATTTATAGTCTTGATATTTGACTTCGTCTATTGTATTTTAGCATGTAATGCCTTTTTTAATGCTCATCCTGCTTTTAGACGCTATTAAGGGCGATATGAAGGTTTTGAGATTTTTATCATGTTAAAGTCTCACAAACCTGTGACATTCCTCTTCTGTATATGTGCAACCTATGTTATTGTTTAGCCTTTTGAATTATTGGCAATTGTTGTGCAGTATCCAATCCCAATGAAGAAGGAAACACAGGGAAGAACTGATCTTTATATCGGTAGCTGGTTGAAGTCTCAGCCCCGTGATAAGGTATGCATACAGTTACATGACTGACTGGACTTTGGGGAGAGATGGTCTTAAATGTTCAAAAATTTGTCAAATTCCTCTTTAGGATTCAATCACCAAATAATCTTTAGCTACATTCTTCTTTTAAGTTGCCTTTCTATTGTTTAGATTTCTTCTGTACTTGCACAGATTAATCACTTTTGGTTCATGTAGCCGACCCCACTTATGGGATTAAGGCTTTGATTGATTTATTGGTTCGACTTTTGGGTTGTTTATTTTGGACTGCTGAATCTCCTAGCTTTGATTCATCTGTTTCTTCAGGTCATTATAGCAACAAAAGTATGTGGTTATTCAGAGCGCTCCGGTTATATCCGTGACAATGCAGAAGTATTGCGTGTTGATGCTGCTAATATAAAGGAAAGTGTGGAGAAAAGTCTTAAGCGGCTGAACACTGACTATATTGATTTATTACAAATTCATTGGTGAGAAAATACTCAGTGCATTTTTATTTTTCAAGAACAAGTAAAATCAATATTTCTGTTTTCCCCTGCCTTTTGCCTCTTGTTGCTTAGAAAGTGAAGCAGTTTTTTTTTTTTTTTTCCTTTTTGTCAGGCCAGATCGCTATGTTGCTTTGTTTGGTGAATTTACTTACGATTACAACAAATGGAGGGAAGGTGTGCCATTTGAGGAGCAACTTAAGGCCTTGCAGGAAGTTATTGATGAAGGAAAGGTATAGACAGCTTATAGGAAGCATGTAAGGGTCATTGCATCTTGCAGAAATTATCATTTTCAATGAGGTCTGCCCTAACCGGGCCTAGAAAATTTAAAAAGTATTAACATGTGTGCTAAAATTTGTCGTGAAATTTCCTTGCTGGCTTGCATTTTTGTCTTGTATGTTATTTTTATTATTTTTTTTATTGCTACTTCCTGCCCTTATTGTTGTTCTCTGCATTAACACACTATCATGTACACATGTAGGTAAGATACATTGGTGTCTCGAATGAAAGTTCTTATGGTGTAATGGAGTTTGTCCATGCAGCAAAAGTTGGGGGACTTCCAAAGATCGTGAGTATTCAGAACTGCTACAATCTACTCACTCGATGTCGGTTTGAAGGCAAGTTTACCATTTCCATCTTCGTTTTCTGTAACTTGTTCCTGCTCTTTGGGTTTTACTATTTTCTTCATTCTTTTTCTACCCAGATACAGCTATGTTTGGGCATGTATCTAAATACTGACATGTCAACATCATAAATTTGTACCAGAGAACTCTGTTTCAAAAAATGATGTGCAAGACATTTCTGTATTGGCTATTATTTGTTTGCAATTTCATTTGCAAATGTTTCAGGTTAACTTGTTAATTACTTTGTATCTCTCTGTATCACTAGATAAAATACCCATGTTTGCTAACTGTAGATATGTCTGAAGACCATTTTGTGATCATCTCACATAACCTATCCCCACCCCCCAAATTTCTTCTCTCATATACCAAGTATGAAGTATGACATTTTGATTTTTTTTTTTTAACTCACATTGTGTGGTTTGTGGCGAACTGAGTATTGAAGTTTCAGATACGGATTTAGTGTCAGATTTGAATACTTGCTATAAAATTAAGAGTTATGGGAACATAGTTAAATTTATCCTTAAGCTAACTGAATGCACTTAAAATGCTTGCAGTTGACCTTGTTGAAGTTTGTCATCCAAACAATTATAACATTGGTCTGCTTGCCTATTCTCCTTTGGGTGGCGGAAATCTCACTGGAAAATATTTGGATCCTGATTATGTGGCTTCTAAGAAAGGAAGGCTGAATCTTTTCCCTGGTTATATGGAACGATATATTAGCTCCTATGCAAAGGTATGCAAGTAGTTTTTGTAAAGGAATAAATCTTCTCATGTTGTATATTCATCTCATCTTCTTCTTGGTTATACAGTCAGTCAGCTGCTGAAGCACCATTTATAAGATGCTTCCTTGATAATGTTGTGTTTTACTCGTGGTGGTCTATTCATTATGCCGCCATGAAATATTTTGCTTTATGTCAAATTGTCAAAAGGCTCCTTGTTGAATGTTCCCAGTGATAATAAGATCACATGTTGCTATTCCAATTTCAGGAGGTAACTGCCAAGTATGTTGAGCTGGCCAGCAAACATGGTCTGTCTCCTGTGCAGCTAGCTCTTGCTTTTGTCAGGGATTGTCCATTTGTGACTAGTTCGATCATTGGTGCAACTTCCGTTGATCAGCTTAAAGAAGACATTGATGCTTTTTTGACAGTTGAGAGGCCATTATCACAGGAAGTAATGCAAGACATTGAATACATTTTCAAGAGAAACAAGGACCCTGCTATTGACTGATGAACATCTCCATCCGAGGTATGGCGCTGCCCACTGTAGAGGGCCGGGGAACCCCATGAGCTTGGTGTGAATGTGTGGCAATGTCTTAATCCTCACTCGAATCCCATTCATTGATTGAGCATTTTTACATTCAATTGTATCATATGTTTATTATTCTCTAACGTTGTCATTGGGAAAATAATATCCAAATTTTGTTGTACAATGAGTCAATGAGTATTCTCAATTTTACTAGTGTTGAAAATTACAGCATTGCCTAACTAAATATATCAGTATTTTCTTTTTGACAGGCTGAAAGTTTGAGTTAACTACAGTATGTACTCGTATTTTTCTCTCCTTTTACTTTCCACAAAAAAAAAAAAAAAAAAAAAAAAAACAAAAAACAAAAAAAAAACTCTCTTTTTACAGTCACATTTAGAATAAATAAAGAAGAAAGTATTGATCATTGAATTAAGCAATATAATTATATTACTTTTCTCAAAAAATAATCACATTAGTAATTGATAAATGCATGATAAAACATTGACATCCTAGTGGAAAATTAGTGTAATTTATGAAAATTAAACAAAAAAAAAAAACAAAAAAAAAAGCTACAAGTAATCATCATGAAATCAAACTGAGGCAAAATTCAAATATCATCTCCGTTTTAAATTATTTACATTTTCAACTCATAATTTGTGGGGTTTTTTTTTTTTTTTTTCGAGACTCCTAATTTGTGTTAAATCTTTGCAAATAAGATAAAATGGAGGTAGTATTTACCATTGGATAAAAAAATTTGCCACATGGAGCTTGTCCAAGAAGACAGTAACGTCCATCCAGATAAGCTATGGCGTCTGGCACTCTAACCACAACAACCACCACCACATTCTTCAGAAACAATGGCAATTCAACTCGCTTCAACTTCACGCGCCGCCCTTTTTCGCCGCATTTTAGTAGGAATAGAAACTACGCTGCAAATTTCGCCATTGAAGCTAAGCTTGGAGAAACCCAGAAAACCTCTTTGCAATTCAATCAACTTGGCAACTCTGATCTTCTCATTAGTGAAATCACCCTCGGCACTGTAAACTCTTCTCTCTCTTACTTTCATTTTGATATATGCAGTGTCATAATAGTTGTCTATAATTAGCAATGTCTAATGCAGTTTGTTTACATAGGTTTACGTGGTTCACTAACAATGTCTTATGTTTGAGGAACCCACAAACGGGAACGGTTTACGTGGTTCACCAACAATGTGTTAGTTAGGGCCGGTAGGGGAAGGAGAGGGTCTTTTATTGTTGTTGAAGAGTCCAAAATACGGAATTAGGCTAATTTGAGATTAAGAGTGGGTGTTGAATGTACTTATTTAAACTAATTGTACAGAGAGTAACACAAATGTGAATTGGAACTTATTGTCTGTTGTTGAATGAGGGAAACGAGTATGACTAACATTCGAAGTATAAGATTGGTGAGTTACTCCACCTATTTCTAATTAGTTTTAGGATGAAACCTTGCTGAGCTTGTATGTTGTTAGACTCGATAATTTATTACTATTTTAACTCATTTGGTATGTTAAATAATAAGTGCTAATGGAAAATTTGGAAAGACAAAAAAACAAAATTAATTTTTAATGAAGGGGAGTTAGTACAAGACATGGCCAAATCTTAGTTTGGTTTTTGTACATGGCTGCTAACATGGGTATTAGAAATTGGAATAAAAAATTTGACAATGTTGGTATGAGAGGGTATATCCTAAGTCCTGTCTCGAAGTAGCTTACATAGTTATATCATATAACTTATGTGGTATATCCTAAGTCCTGTCTGCCAAATACATGAGATGTCTATAGTGGTATGAGAGGGTGCAGGAGGTGTTCGCAGTAGTCTCTGCAGGGTGAGTGAAGGGGTTTACCATTCTGTGCTTGGTGAAGGTAGTGGGTCTTGTACGTCATTTGATGGTAAAGAGTGGCAATGGTTAAACTTGGCGTCTTGTGGCCTAAATGTGGTGGTTGTGCCGTGTGGGGTATTGTAGGGGATGTGAGACAGTGAGAGGATGTTGATGTAATCAGGTGGCTTTGGCGATGAGTTGGATGGTGCTGGAGGGTGTCAAGGATTGCTGGTGGTCTGGTGTCAGTATTGATAGCTTAGCTTTGGAGGCAATCTATGCTTTTATAATTAATATATCCTAAAAGCTAGTCAACTCTTCAAACTTAGGTCCTAGCTTTTGTGTTTTTTATGCTGAAAGCGTTCTAATTTTCTAAATGATTAAACTTGCCAAAAACTAATATTAGTTGTAATGGATGGAATTTGGATTGGTTGAAACCCCTTTTATTGGTTTGTGTAAGCATAATGTTTGCACCTAGTTGCCCTTCTATAACTCAAAGGGTTGTGCATAAAAAGTTGTGAGGTATAACTGTTTGATATTATATTTAGTATATGAAGAGCATAATTACCATTGTCAATTATCAACACAAATGAACTTTAGCTGTATAGTGATTAAAAAACAATGCTGCTCCATATCATATCATCACATCATTTATCCATTTTTTTATAATCTCCGTAATATAAACCTTCCCGTGAATGTTTGTTTTAAAGTCCATGAAGTAGGATTTTAAGCATGAATCAGGTATTCAGGTTTAGGGGTTTATACATTCATGGGAGGATTTTCTTCATAAACCCCACTCGGGTGGCCTTTAGCCAGTAAAGTTTCTTAGGGGGTCCAGCTCTAATCATCAACTATAAATGTACAGAATATATATTAGGATTATTAGCCTTAAATTGATCCAAGATAAATTATTCTTTTGTCTACTCCTTTTGTTTTTGATTTAACTTGGTTAAAGTGCATGTGAACAAATATATTGAATATCACTCAAGTGTTTCATTTTATGTTATCTTACTCTTGATTTGTTATCTATCATTTGGGATTGATGTATTTAGTTTTTCACTTGTGTATGAGCTGCATTCAATGCTTACTATTTTTTGTACACGTTCTTTTCTGTATTGTTTCAATTTTTTTTTCTCTAAATGTTAACCATCGCAACTGTTCCCAGATGACATTTGGAGAACAAAATACAGAAAGAAGCTCACGACATACTTAGTTATGCATTTGATCAGGGAATCAACATCTTGGACACTGCAGAAGCTGTAAGCATCCCATGCCTTTTTGTATCGTCCTTGTTTTGTGTCTACTTTAAAATAAATGTACCATACAAATCAAGATGAAAGTTTCATCAGCAAGCAATACCTTTCACTAGCATTTATAGTCTTGATTTATTTGACTTTTTTAATCAGAGGAAGGTCGTCTACTATTGTAATTTAATATAGCGTGTAATGGTTTTTTTAAGCTCAAATCTGCTTTGAGATGCTATTAAGGGTGATATCAAGGTTTTGAGATTATTATTATGTTACAGTCTCACAAACATGTGACAATTTTCTTCTGCATATGTGCAACTTATGTTATTGTTTAGCTTGTTGAATTTTGGCAATTGTTGTACAGTATCCGATCCCAATGAAGAAGGAAACACAAGGTAGAACTGATCTTTATATTGGTAGCTGGTTGAAGTCTCAGCCTCGTGATAAGGTATGCTTACAGTTACATGACTGACTGGGGAAAGATAGTCTTGAATGTTCAAAGTTCTGTCAAGTTCATCTTTAGAATCCAATCTCCAAAAATAATCTTCTGTACTTAGTATAATTATTTGGGTTGTTTATTTTGGATTGCTGAATCTCACACTTTGTTTCATTTGTATCTTCAGATTATTATAGCAACAAAAGTATGTGGTTATTCAGAGCATGTCAGTTATGTCCGTGACAATGCAGAGGTGCGTGTGGATGCTGCTAATATAAAAGAAAGTGTGGAGAAAAGCCTTAAGAGGCTTAACACTGACTATATTGATTTATTACAAATTCATTGGTGAGATAATACTCGGTGCACTTTTTGTTTTTTTTCTCAAGAGCCAAGTAGCATCAGTTTTTCTGTTTCCCCTGCTTTGAATTTTAATTTTGCCTCTTGTTACTTAGAAAGTGAAGAAGAGATGCTTATTTGTCAGGCCAGATCGCTATGTTTCGTTGTTTGGTGATTTTTATTATGATTACAACAAATGGAGGGAAGGTGCGCCATTTGAGGAGCAACTTAAGGCCTTGCAAGAAGTTATTGATGAAGGAAAGGTACAAACAGCTTATAGGAAGCATAAGAGGGTCATTGCATCTTGCAGACGTTCTAATTTTCATTAAGGTCCTGCCCTAACCCAGCCTATAAATTAAAAAGAACATATGGGAAAACATAAGGAATTGTTTTCAAAAATGCATTTATTTATGCTCTCAGAGGTTTAAAATGCACGTATCATGTATTCATGTGAGCTGCTTTCCTCATCTATAATTTGTAGCTTTAAACATTGAATTGCTTGCTTCTCTCTTATAAATCAATAAACAACCAACTAATTCCAATCAGGTGCAGGATTCTTTCGTCAGATTTAAACATTTAGACTCTAAAAGTTAGCTCTGAAGAAGTTTTATGTTGGCTACATAGTATATCAGGGTGAGTGTTGGATGTGGAATAATGGATAACTGCTTTAATACATGATATTTTGGAGTGACTTGGTGTTTTGGCTTGTCTTAAATGAGGATCAAGTTTGTAATTGGTCACAACTCACAAGATATTGAACTTCACTAGCCACCATTTCTTGAGTTCTAATTTCTAAAAGTAGTACTATATATCTCATGAGAAGATTTTACCTTTAAAGTTTTTTTGTAATTCCTTTTTTTTTATTATATAATAAAGGTTTCCCTTTATTATTTTTGCCTAAGAAGGAGAAATATCATCAATATTAAGTAGTGTATTATATATATGAGAATAATACTCCCTTCATTTCAAGATTTTTTTTTTAATTGCTTGTAGTATGCAGAGAAACCATGGCAAGGCCCTGTGGCCTGTGCTACTCCCTCTCTTAGAAACCATATCAACTGAAGCACATAATCACTTCACGCGGCTCACCTGTCCTTTCAACTGGATCTTCTCCTGTCTTATTTTTGCTTAATTGTTCCCTTTTGCCTCCATTTTATAACTTCCAAGGACCACCCACTTTATTGTCTCCGTTTTGTTGTTTTAGTAGTAGTTTATTAACTTGTGTGCCAAAATTCTGGCGTGAAATTTCCTTGTTGGCATGCATCTTAGTCATGTAAGTTATTATATTGTTTTTTTTTTTGTTACTAATTTCTGTTTTATTGTTGTTGTTTTGCTGCATTAACACACTGTCACGTACACATGTAGGTGAGATACATTGGTATCTCGAATGAAAGTTGTTATGGTGTTATGGAGTTCGTCCATGCAGCAAAAGTTGGAGGACTTCCAAAGATCGTTAGCATTCAAAACTGCTACAATCTACTCACTCGATGTCGGTTTGAAGGCAAGTTTACCATTTTTATCTTCATTTTCTGTAAATTTTGCCTGCTTTTTGGGTTTTACTTTCAAAGGGAGACTCATCATTTGTGCATGTTAATTAAGTATACTCTTGTTATCAAGTTAGAGTAGTGATGTTTAATATGACTTTGCTTTTGCTTCCTTCTAGTCCACAATTGGTAACATGGAATATATATGCCTGTCACATTTTTGAAGTTTTAGCCTTCATGCCTATCAGTAAGCAAGCAACATCATTATTGACCCTTGGGGCTCTTCACTCTTATTTGTTGCTTTGGCCTTTTTATGAAATTTGTGACTCTGAGCATCTACATCTAATACTGTGTTCTTTATGCCTGTTCAACCCTGCTACAACCATATTTGAGTGCGTAATTGAGTGTCATTTGACATGTTTAACATCATAAATATTAGAGACACGAGACAGTGAGTCGAAAATCATGAAACTATTCCCAAAATGTAAGACATTTCTGTGTGGCATTTCACATTAGTTGTCTGCAAATTATGTGAAAAATGTTTCAGGTTAACTTTGTTAAATGTTAACTACTACCTTAGCCTATACCTCTGAATCATCAGATTAAACACTCTTGTTTACTAATTGTTGTTCAAGATTAATCTGAAGACAATTTTTTGAGCATCTCACATAACCTTTTGCCACCCCCCCCCCCCTCCCCCCGGGGTCCCTCTTTAGTATATGAATATTTTTGAAAATTTTGCTCACTTTGTGCGGTTTGTGGCCAACTAAGTATCAAAGTTTCAGATACCGAGCTTCACATCTGAGTCAGAGTATCGAGTTCTGGCCAACTGAGTATTGAAGTTCAGATACCGATTTCACATCTGAGTCAGAGTATCAAGAATCAGACTTGAATACTTAATACAAAAATAGAGTTATGGTAACATACTTCAGTCCATCCTTAAGCTAACTGAATGCAACCAAAAATGCTTGCAGCTGACCTTGTTGAAGTTTGTCATCCAAACAATCATAACATTAGTCTACTTGCCTACTCTCCTTTGGCTGGTGGAAACCTCACTGGAAAATATTTGGATCCTGATTGTCTGGCTGCTAAGAAAGGAAGGCTGAATCTTTTCCCTGGTTATATGGAAAGATATATTAACCCCTATGCAAAGGTAGGTAAGTAGTTTATCTAAACAAACAAATCTTTTATGATGTATATTCATCTTATTTCTTGTTCGTCATACAGTCAGGTAGTCACTGAAACACTCTTAATAAGATTCTTCAATTCCTTGATTATGTTTCTTTTATTTATGGTAGTCTATGATATTTGCTTCCATGAAATATTTGAATATATGTCAAAAGGATCCTTGCTTGTCCCAGCGATACTGATATCGTATGTTGCATCTCTAATTTCAGGTGGTAACTGCCAAATATGTTGAGCTGGCCAAAAAACATGGTCTGTCTCCTGTGCAGCTAGCTCTTGGCTTTGTCAGAGATCATCCATTAGTGACAAGTTCGATCATTGGTGCAACTTCAGTCGATCAGCTTAGAGAAGACATTGATGCCTTTCTGACAGTTGAGCGGCCATTGCCTTGGGAAGTAATGCAGGATATTGAATACATTTTCAAGAGAAATAAGGACCCTATTGACTGATGAACATTTTCACATGAGGTACGGCGCTGCCCATTATAGAGGGTGGGGGAACCTCATGAGCCTGGTTAATATCGAACCCACAACATTTTTTTGGGTGCACATATCGAACCCACAACATTGGTGTGGCGATGTGTGTTCTTCCTCACCCGAGTCCAATTGATTGTGCATTTTTACATTCAATTGTAACATATTCCATTCTCAAAAGTATAGGAGAATTAAAAATTCCAAATGTTGATGTGCATTCTTTTTTTTTTTTTTTTTTTGAGGAAAATTTTGTTGTGCATTCTTTTTTACAGGCATTCTTCCTCCATTTTTAATAAGTATTTTTTAATCAATAAATATTATCTAAAAATAAAGGTCATTTATAGTTTTTTTTTTTTTTTTTTTTCTTTTATAAAAAAAAAATAGTAGCTTTTTTTGAAAAAAAAATAGTAGCTTCATATTGTGTAAATCACTTTTTCATGATAAACTTAACATTTATATTTTTAATTTTTTGGCAAAAGTAAGAGGAGTGGATTTTTATTTTTATTATTTTTTTTTTTGTACTCTTCTCATTTGACGAACTACAAAAACAATTATAAATTCATAAAAGCACATAAGATAAACACCCAAAAAAATATTGATAAAGAAAAAAAAAAAAAAAGAGAGAGAGAGAGAATTTTCATTTTAAGAAAAGATTTGTTGAGGTTGTGTGGAAGTAAAAAAAAATAGCCATGCAAGTGCGCCAAAATCGCTGAAACTACAAAAATGGGTTCTAAATTCATGTCTTACATACAATTTCTCTCTCTTCTTTCTCTAATTAATTCATTTTCTTCTCTTCAATTAAAAAAAAAATAAAAAATTGTTTCCTTATGAGTTTTCTCTAATCCAGATTTCCAAAATATCATCATTAATTCTCCATAAAAATTATTGAATTTTGCCCAATTTAATCCTACAATAATCTATTTCATATTTACTTGAATATGGTTTATAATAATTTTAATGAGAGGCCGTAAAAAGGAAAGAAATTAACATCTATCTATGAAGATAAAGAGGGAGAAGGAAGAACAGATGCAGTTAGAGAAGCAAAAGCAGAGTTGCTGTGTTTCCAAAAATTATTTCAGATGGAATGGCAGATCTTGTTAATTATGGCCATTCTGACCGTGATATTGACCAAGTAATTCTCTTTTATTTTTCTTAACATTTTATTTGTGTTAATGGGCTGACTGGAATTCCGAATATCGAGGTTAAAACTCAAACAACTAGATAAAAATTCTTAAATACACTCGGGTGCACTTTTATTGTTTTTTTTGAATTCTTCAAATGGGATTATATGAACAAAAAATGTACTCCTCCGTCCCGCCTATTTCAAAAATTTATTACTCACGTAATAAAGAGAAATAGGGATTGATAGAGTACATTTTTAGACTTGTGTCTAAATGCACTCAGATGCATAATAAAGATTGTGTCACCAAAATAAGCCATGTTTGGGTATTAGTTTGGAGTTTATGTTTATGTGGGGTGTTCTGTTGATTAATTTGCCACCAATATGTTTATTAGTATGATGAATAGATGATTGTATAATGCATGAGTTGTTATATGCTGAGTAATCTTTTTAGTTTGTGCATTTTCAATTATGTTGCTTATGTATAGGACATTATTATACTTGTATGCCATAAACCATTTGCATAAATGATTAATCTATGTAAAAAAAAATACGTAGCACAAATTTTGCATCAAGATTAATTTATCGTATTGTAGAATCAAAAGAAGATTAAGTTAGTTGGATGTTAGAGTGAACTAGGTTAATAGTGATAAAAATCGAGCTTTATATAATCTAGCAATTAGAGGAATTATACATAAAGTCAGGATGCATGACAAGAGGAAGGGAAAGGGAATATGAATTGAAAATTAATCATAATTATAAAATGGCTTGAAACACTTAACGTAATTGAAGTTTAACATATTTCTCGTCTTCAAACTGTGGTTGATAATTTTGCTTAGAACTCGTATAAATCCAGTTATTTGAACATTCAAGACTTTATTCATAATCTAATTGTAAGTTTTCTATAAGAATTGAGGTGATTAATTCTCATTTAACATATGATCTATTTGTTTCAAACTGATCTATTTGTTTCAAACTGTGTTAGGCACTAATTACTTTGAAAAAAGGTACTCATTTCATCAAGTACAGCAGGAAGGGAAAGCCCAAGTTTTGCCCATTTAGACTTTCCACGGTGCCTATTCTTCTTTTTCCCCTGGTTTTTTAGGCTATTTTGATTAGTGACTCGAGTTTGCATTGCTTTTTATAATGTGATTATATTTCCATTTAATATATTACATTGCATCTAAATTGTCATGTTACAAACTTATTAACTTAGTAAGATTTTCTATGTACAAAAAATAACTCTTAACTCGCAAGAAGAAATGAGTCTAATTTGATTATCATGTGGAGAAGAAATGAGTATGAAGTTATTTGTAGTCTTAAGAACCATCAGAATTATTGTTCTGTGAGTTATGAGTGTTTTTTTTGGTAATGTAGGAGCTAATTATTGATGCAAAATTTGCAGGATGAAACAACTCTGATTTGGCTATCACATGGAGAAGAAAGGAATTTGAAGTTATCTGTAGTCTCAAAAATCATCCAAGGACAAAGAACTGTAAGATAAACCTATCGAATTTATATACATACCAATCATGGTTAGACCTACTACGAAATTGAAAGGGCTACTTAACCTTTTTTCTACATTCAATTTTGTATATTATCATTCATCCTATGAAGGTTTAGTTTGAGATATGATCAAATTCCTAAATTTAGTTTCCAAAATCTTTCTTGTAGGCTGTGTTTCGTAGATTCTTGCGCCCTGAAAAGGATTACTTATCATTTTCTCTTATATACAATCACGGTGACAGATCTCTTGACGTGGTTAGTTGCACTTGGATTTGTACTGTTTGTTTTTTTACTTATACAAATTTTATTTTGACGTTGTTGAGCTATTCTGGTTGTTTTTTCTCAAGCTGATCACTACTATTCTGTGATAGATTTGTAAAGATAAAGCAGAGGCAGAAGTTTGGCTCGCGGGTCTAAAGGCTTTAATTGGTCTGCAGCGAAATAGACGCACTAGAAGTGAGATATCTGATGTGAGTTTGGCCATTTCTTCATGAAATTTAAGTTTTTAAGTAGATGTAAACATTTTGTAACTATCTTCTTTTCTTTTCTTTTCAAATAATGGCATGGAATATTAGTGTAAGATTCTATGACTTCTCTTATTCCTTGAAATGTCAACTAATTTAAAGCAATATGATTGATTAGCTTGCTCTATTGTTTTCAGTTAAATGAGGGTGAATATTCTCAACATGGTCGTCCTGTTTTAGAAGCTGCTTCAAGTGTACGTAGTAGGCCATCTCTTGATTTGGGTCCTTTGAGTTCAGATGTTGGGTCTGAGCAAGCAAATATGCAACTAAGAGGAGGCACAGGAGAAGGTTTTCGACTTAGTGCAGATGGTTTTCGACTTAGTATCTCTAGCACACCAACTTGTTCAAGTCAAAGTTCAGGGCCAGATGACATTGAGTCATTAGGAGATGTTTATGTATGGGGTGAACTATGGTCAGATGGAGGTTTAACAGATGGATCCGGAAACCCAAATTCGACAAAGGTTGATGTCTTAACTCCAAAACCCTTGGAATCCAATGTAGTTCTTGATGTTCAACAAATTGCTTGTGGAGTTTCACATGTTGCTCTAGTGACTAAACAAGGTGAGGTATTCACCTGGGGTGAAGAATCCGGAGGAAGACTTGGTCATGGAATCGAAAGAGATTTCACTCGACCTCATCTTGTTGAATTTCTCGCAGTCAGTACTGTAGACTTTGTTGCCTGTGGGGAGTACCACTCATGTGCAGTGTCAACATCAGGTGATGTATTTACATGGGGTGACGGTATTCATCATGCTGGACTTCTAGGCCATGGCACTGATGCTTGCCATTGGATTCCGAAAAGAATTTCTGGTCCTTTAGAAGGTCTTCAGGTCATTTCCATTGCTTGTGGCACTTGGCATTCAGCATTGACTGCTTCTAATGGGAAGCTCTTCACGTTTGGCGATGGATCTTTTGGAGTTTTAGGCCATGGAGATCGAGAAAGTGTTTCTTACCCAAAAGAGGTTCAACTATTAAGCGGGTTAAAAACAGTTAAGGTTGCATGCGGAGTTTGGCATACTGCAGCTATTGTGGAGGTTATGAGTCCTTCAACTTCTGGTAGTAGCATTTCTTCTAGAAAATTGTTCACTTGGGGAGATGGTGACAAATTTCGCTTGGGTCAAGGGAATAAAGATGCATATTTGCTTCCTACGTGTGTGTCCGCACTCATTGATTACAGCTTTAACCAGATAGCATGTGGACATAATTTTACAGTCGCTCTTACAACATCAGGTCATGTCTTCACCATGGGCAGTCCATCACACGGTCAACTTGGAAATCCACAAGCCGATGGGAAATCACCTAGTTTAGTCCAAGACAAATTAATAGGCGAGTATGTAGAAGAAATTTCGTGTGGGGCACATCATGTTGCAGTCCTGACTTCAAGAAGTGAGGTATACACTTGGGGTAAAGGTGCAAACGGAAGACTTGGGCATGGAGATGTAGAAGACCGGAAGTCCCCAACAATGGTGGAGGCACTGAGAGAGAGGCTTGTGAAAAGTGTAGCATGCGGCTCAAATTTGACTGCTGTAATATGCATCCATAAGTGGGTTTCTGGAGCTGATCAATCTGTTTGCTCAGGGTGTCGGCAAGCATTTGGTTTTACTAGAAAAAGGCACAACTGCTATAATTGTGGTCTTGTACATTGTCATGCATGTAGTTCTAAAAAGGCCGTTAGAGCAGCGCTTGCTCCTACACCGAGCAAGCCACATCGTGTTTGTGATGCTTGCTATAGTAAACTTAGGGCTACTGCCTCTGGAAATGCCTCAGTTTTCAACAAAAGGCCTACTTCTGCTCCTCGACGTTCAATGGATGGCACCAAGGAAAGGTCCGAGAGACCTGAATCAAGGTCTTCAAAGCTTTTGTTGACCCCCACTACTGAACCGGTGAAATACCTTGAGGTCAAGAGTCAAAGGTATGGAGGAAAATTAGATTCTTTTTCTATGGTTCGAGCCTCACAAGTGCCAACATTTCAGCAGCTTAAAGATGTTGCTTTTCCTAGTTCTTTAAGTGCTCTTCAAAGCGCTTTGAGGCCTTCTACACCAACACCACCTCCAGCACCTCCGGTTCCCAGTAGTCTACCTGCACGACCATCTTCACCATATACAAGGAGACCTAGTCCTCCTCGATCTGGAACTCCTGTAATCTCTAGAGGCATCCTTGATAGTCTCAAGAAGTCAAATGAACTTTTGAGCCAAGAAGTCTCAAAGTTTCAGAACCATGTATTGTTTACTCTACTTATTTTGAGACCTACTAATCTTACATTTTGGTCATGGTTAAGTTACTTAGATATTGTATTGCTTTCATTTGATATCAGATTAAAACTCTTAAGCAAAAGTGTGACTACCAAGACGATGAGATTCAAAAACTACAGAACAATGCTAAAGAAGCTTCCTTGCTCGCTGCTGACCAATCTTCCAAATGCAAATCTGCAAGGAAAGCTGTTGAATCCTTGTCTGTTCAGGTATGTGTTCAAGATCTTCATGTCTTTCATTATATAGGAAAATATATCGACTTGCCTCCTATGCTTTTATCTATTCAGTCTTGGTCCCCTCTGGTCTATTAAAATCTAATATTCAATGAATGATTCTTGGCAATTTCTATGTTCATCTAGTTGAAGGATATTGTTGAGAAGATGCCTAGTGGAGCCAACCAAAGTGTAAACCTCCAGGCAATGCGAACCCAAATATTAGCCTTTCTTTTTACAAATGAAACTGAAGCATCTAATTCTCAAACTACCACACCAGTAGATCTACAAGCGCTGCAGAAAAACCAACAGAGTGAAAATAAAGAATCCACTCCTCAAACTTCCTTGTCGGTAGACCTACAGACACAACAGCAGAACCAACAGGTTCAAAATGAAGCATCCACTAACTTGCCAGCTGAAGCACAACGTGAGCAGCAGAGCCAACAAAGTGAAGGCAATCAGGTCGATGATAAAAGTGCAAGTGCAATCCAGAATTCTGATCAAATGTCTTCGTCACTCAAGAATTTGTCTTTAAATCCCAAAATACTAGATGACCAGTGTGAAAGTGCAATCCAAGATTCTGATCAAACACCTTCGTCACTCAAGAATTTATCTTTAAACCCCACTATACTGGGAGACCTACCAACATCTGGTGAAAATGCAATGCAGGATTCAAATTTAACACCTTTGTCTACTGATGCAACTGAAACTCCTAGGCATACTTTAGAAGATCGCGGTCAATATTCTACTATAATCCAGGATTCCGATCAAGCACCTACATCACTTGATACAACCGAAACCACTAGCCATGAATCTGAAAATGGGGTCCAAGATTCTAGTGTAAACCAAGATTCTAATCAAACATCTCCATCATCTGATACAACTGAAGCAGATACTAGACATGATTCAAAAGATGAGGTCCGAGATCCTATTCAAACACCTTCGTCATCTGATACAACTGATACAACTACTAAGCATGATTCAGAAGATGGGACTCAAGAGGCTAGTGAACATCCTTTATCTAACGAAGCAGAATCTTCAGCTAATGAAAGGTCTGAAGAAAATGGAGGAGTTCAGGAGCCTAATCAATCACCTTCACCTACTACGGAGTTTACACCTAATCAAGGGAACAAAAGTGCAGCTTCAAAACTATCTAGTACATCAAGGAATGAGGGATCAGGATCAGATGAACGTACAGAGCAAATAGAACGCGGGGTTTATATAACTTATTTAGAACTTTCTAATGGTACTAAAATCTTCAAGCGAGTCAGATTCAGGTAATACCCTTCAAAAGATCAATTCATTAGCTTGTTATACATTTGTATGTACTTATTACACAGTACTGCAGTAGAGCTTGATTCCTTTTATAATTTTCTCATTCACTCTCCTTTAACTTGTCATTTTTTATAGCAAAAAATTGTTTGTAGCAACACAAGCTGAGGATTGGTGGCGAGAAAACAGGGAGAGGGTGTATAAAGAGTTTATTCCTGCACCACCAAATAGTGTAAAACCATCTCGTACTTCATTGCCAACAGCTGCCACTTCAGGGCTACCGCCACCCAATGAAGAAGTTTGCAATGCCAACAATGCAGCCCCTTGAGAAACATAACATGTTCATAAATCTCTTGTTTGATGTCACATAGAAGTCGCGCTCCATACTGGTAGCGTTGTAGAAAATTATGTCATACCTGCATAATTATCTTAGGTAGATGAGAATTGTTTGTGTTTGAAGAAATTTTGGTCGAGAAAAAGTTTACTAGTAGCCAAGCATTCTTTTATTCAATATATGTACCTTAGTTTACAAGTATATTTCCTGTATTCTTCTTATATACTTCGTATATTGGTTAATTTTACAGTTGTACAAATGGTGAGAATATACATGAAGTACATAAAATCATTAAGTAGCAATTTTCATCTTTTGATGAACCACTAGCCCATTCACTTATGAATTTCTTATGAATTACATTTCCCTAAATTTGAATAATTTCTTTATATTTTACAGATTTAGAAATATTGAAAAAGGCTAAAGTTGAATAACTTTGATTATTAATTTTTATTTTTATTTTTTTTACGACGAGTAAAATCTTCGGTGTGACGAGATTGTGTATTTTAATATTTCACCATGTTAAGTAAATATTGATGTGATCACATCGACATAGGACCCATTGTGGCTCGAGAAGCACATATATTATTATGTCGGGATGTCATGTCTTTCAAAGTTTAAAATTTACAGGTGAGCACGACACGAAATTAGTGGGCCTCTAACAAACCTCGTCCCATGGTTAACTTTGGCAAATGGTACAATATAGAGTAGTGTGTTTCACTATTTTGGGTGTTGGTACAATTTAGAGAGCTGAAAGAGCATTTCTAAGCACTCCATAAGCATATACCAGTAAATAAATACCACTATAAGTCTGCAACAAAGAAACCATGATCCCATTCTCATCTCTGTTTCTCTCTCTCTTTATCTACACAAATTTCATTTGCTGAATTCATTGCAAATTTTAGGGTTGTGATTTTAGAAAGAGGCAAAAAAATTTGTGGGGTTTTTGAATACAATGCGGCAACTATGGAGGTTGAAGCTCTGTTGGGATTATCTGGGTCAAAAATGCGATTTTGCTGCCTTGATCACTATGCAGGTCTCTCTTTTCATTTCGAATTCTGAAATTTTTCACATTTTCTGGGTTTGCATAATGTTTTTTCTGGGTATTTTGTATTGGTCTTACATACATAGATTATATACTTTCTGGGTAATTCCCCGATTTTAGATTTCATACTTTTATTGGGTTAATTCCCAGCATTTGTGGCCCTTATTAACTGTTTGATTATAATTTTTTTCAAGTTTTTTTTTTTTTTGAGCATTAAAGCGTTTTTAGTAATATTGCATCCATAAATTAATGAAGGGTTTCTGATTTTTGATAATTTATTAATCTTCAATTTGGCCCATAAGAATTGGATATAGATAATTGATTACACTTGTTGTTCAGCTTGATAATGGTGGATTGTAAAAATTATGAACATCCCCAAATGCCCAGTTTAGCACCTCATGTCTACAGAAATGTTCAACCCTTGTTTACGAGAGAAGGAAATTAGGAACTGAATTGAATTGAACTAAATTGAACTGAAATTAAGTTGAACAGAACAGGTCCTTAATATGAATGGTGCAGATTTTATCACATTAATTACCCTGCCACAAACTTTTTGTTGATTGATTATGGATACTTTCATAAGTATACCCCCATTAAAGGGTAAATTAATGATAAGATAAGGCTATAGATGAACACTTATGCTTGTGAATTTGTGATTTAACTGAATGGTTGAATGTTGTACTGCCGAATTTGGTAAATTATATCCCTTTGGTTGGATTACATGTAAATTGACTAAATTCCATGTTTGGCATCCCAGTAAATGTCACTTAATAAACCAATTGAAATTTTCACAGTTTTATTTTTTGATTGAAATAGTGGTTCCTCTTATGTCTTCTGCATCATGATGCAGAAACGTAATGCAGGTCAACTTTTGCGTGGAGATGTCTTAAACACTTATTTAAAGAATGCAGTCGCTGAGAAGATGACTTTTTTCTGTCAGAGCAAGGGTTCAGAGATGGAGCCCACTATTTCTGCTAACGAGACTCTCTTTGTTCGGAAACTCCCTTATCTGAATGCAAGGTAATAGTCTTTGATTGTCTTCAGTGAAATTTCCTTTTCTATTGTTTGATCCTTATGCCATTCTTGGGTGAGAACATTGTTATAGTTTACAGTTTTTTGTGTTTTAGCAAGAGATTTCTTCTGTTATTCAACTTTAGTTTCAGATTACTGTGGCATTCTCAAATTCGACTTGTATAGGTGTCCTGTATAAATTTTATTGTTCCCTATTTTTTTCAAGGTGTTTAAAAGATCTCTTTATTTACTCTTATAGAGTTTCTAAGTACAAATTGCTGTTGAAGCAATTGAATGCAGTCTAAATTGAAATTCCATTTCCAGGGTACGGGGAAATCCACAGAATATACATGTGGGTGATGTAGTTGTTTTAAAGGATCCTTTGAACTCAAATAACTATGTGGTGAGAAGACTGGCTGCTGTCAGCGGATATGAAATGGTCTCCAATAACAAGGACGATGAGCCTTTTGTTTTAAAAGATGGGCAGTGCTGGGTCCTTTCTGACAACAAAAATCTGAAGCCAGAGGTAAACACTAACCTGTGGAAGCATATTTTATCCCTTTGTATTTTGTCACTCCAGTCCTTTACTTTGTGCAAGTATTCTCTTTTTGGTGAGACATAAAACGCCGCTATAGGCAACTGCAAGCACGATGCTAATGATGCATAATTGCATATCCTTTGACATGACCGCATTGTATACATGTTGGAACTATTACTTGTGCTAGCTACTCGCTTGGACTGTGCGCTTTGACCTATATTCACTAAATCATTGTTTCTGTGGGAAGGAATTATAGGTGAGAGTCCCTGACCACACTGCACCCCACCCCCCCGTGCATATGTGTGTAATGTTTGCTTCTTTATTTGGGTGGGGAGTAGAGAAGATGACACTGGCTTTTGAATAACAAAGTTAGAAGTTCCATTGGGAAGAACAATAGCCATTAACAACGTTTCTCCCATAGTAGTACTTCCTTCATTGGCTCCTATATTCGCTTTCATTTTGCCTTCTTTTTTTTTTTTTTTTTTTTTTTTTTTTTTTTTTTTTTTTTTTTTTTTTGCAGGGGTGTGGGGTTGGGGAGATGACATTGGGTATTGAACAACAACATGAGACATCTCCTTTAAGAAATGTAGCGGGCTACTGGATAGCCATTAACAAACTATGTTACTTCCATAGTCTTATTGTAGCATCCACTTCATTGGGTTTTATTCTGTTAATTTTTGTGAGCAGACATGTTTGTCTACTTAGTCCACCAAGTTCAATGCATTGGTTGAACTCTTTGTCCTCCCTCACTCAGATTTGTTTTCTCAATTTAGTAGATTGCTTAAAACGACTTGCAAGTATTCTATGAATAGCGACACATATTTGTTTTCCTTTATCAAAAATAACAAAATAAAAATTGAATAGGATTGCGCTGTGCTCGTCAAGGTTTTACTGAAAACCGACAGTTAGATTTTGATCATTCACATCGTTGCCAAACATGCGGTACAGACTTCTCCTTTGATCTGCAAAATTTGAGTTTCATCTTAAAGACTTGAAAATTTGAAATCTATCCAAAAACTAATCCCCTTTTTCGGTTTCTACAAAATTTGCCCTTGAACAGTTTTGATTTATGCTTCATCAAGTCTACATACTGCCCATCTGCATTATTAATTAATAAAGTCTTTGTTTTTGTATAGTACTCCCTTCGTCCCCGAAAGAACGACCCATTTGGGTTGATTTCGCGAGTATTAAGAAAGTTAAATAAAAAGAATTAAAAGTATATTGGAAAGATAAATTTACATGGAGTTTGTAAAAAAGTAGAGAGAGAAAGTAATAAAAGTACATCGAGAAACAAAATTTTATATGGGGAAGCTAATTTTGCACAAATATTATTGCAAATTGGTGGGGATTTTAATGCAAATGGGTCATTCTTTTTGGGACTAAAATTAGGCCAAATGGGTCGTTCTTTCGGGAACAGAGGTCGTATAAGAGTACAAATGAAAGAGAACGATTGAAACTCTGAAGCTCACCTTGTAATCCCTCCTAATTTTTCAATGTCCTTAAGAGGATATTGAGAAATGAGTCCATAATAATATCCTTTCATGATTAAAAAAAAATAAAAAAAATAAAAAAATAAAAAATTATAGCATGAATGTGCCACCGCTGTAATATTAAGCAGCGAACATTGAACATCCATTTCATTACAATTTTTACAAATACCACCAATAAATGCATGAGAAAGCTTACCAGTTTGTCAATACTAATGAAAGTCACCTCAAAATCTTTTTAGCCTTAAAAAATATCTATAATAATCTTCCTTTTGTCAAGAGCCTCCCATTTTTCTCTGAGTCTTGGCTTCAAACTGTCTGTAATTTGGCTTGCAGCCCTGCTAGCTTGAACACACTGATGATGCCATTAGCTGTTATTACAAACTTCAGTATTGACCAATCCTTGCTGTGTTTGTCACTCTTTGTCAACTTTAGTGCTTCTTGGGTTTCTGAGGTCATATCCAAGTTAGCAGTATAGCCGATCTATAACGGAATTACTTTGTGCTGTATTTAGCTCTGCAGCTCTGCTCAGAGAGTTAGTCATATTTTGAAAGCAACTGTTAGTGTCCTGCATGCAAAATGTGTGTCCAGTCTGATTCAACTTTTAACTTACACAAGGGATTATTGGCTTATTTTCGTATCAAATTTTGGGGTGAGGATTTGTTTGGAACATTGTGTCTTTGCAGGAAAGTAATGATAGTCGTACATACGGACCAATCTCCATAAATAACATTGTGGGTAGAGTCATCTACAGGTTTCAAACTGCCAAAGTTCACAATGTTGTGGTGAACAGGTAAGCCTCTCAACTGGCTTAGTTGCTTCCACCCTTCAAAGACAAGCACCAGAAGCTGACTATTTGCTTTCTTTCTCTCTCTCTCCTAAATCTTGCAGTGCGTACAGTTTGCAGAATGACCGTTCAGTCCTCTTCGTAGAACTAGATCCTGCTGAAGTGCAACTCAATAATGATAAAAATAGTAAGGACTCTCAAACATGAGAGTACTAGATACAGAACTACAGGTATTTGTTATTATATGCCCGTCATAATTTCCTTTCACCATTCCCCAACTCTCTTATGCCCTTTTGTTTCTTTAGGTTTGCAGCATAAGGAGTTCATCTGACTTTGACGAGATAGGGATGATACAAAGGCAGCTAGAGTAAACGACTCCGATTTAACTGAATGTTTTAGCAGCGAGATTCAGTTTAGTATTAGTTTTAGCATCTTTAAGCATTGGCTGCTGATCTGGTTGTTTAAATTTCAGCTTTAGCAAAGACACATTGGCTACAATGACATCATAACCAAATGTGCATAGTGGTAGATGCGAAAATTTCATCATGGCCCGTTATTCAGGTGATTATAGGCTATCTCGAGTGGTTTAATACAGAGTATATGTAATTAGATTTATTAAATAAAGCAATGAGGTGGTTTATCAAAAGTTAGAGATTTCATTTTATTTATATCTAGTTTGATTCAATTGGCAAGTTTGACATTTGATAATGGACTCTCTATACTTGTCTCATTCACCCTTCTTTAACTTGTTCATATTTTGTAGCAAAAAATTGTACTTTATATAGCAACATAGGCTGAGGATTGGTGGCGAGAAAACAGGGAGAGTATTTATCGAGAGTTTATTCCTGCACCACCAAATAGTGTAAAACCATCATCTCGTACTTCATTGCCAACGGCTGCCACTTTAGGTCTACCGCCACCCAATGAAGAAGTTTGCAATGCCAACAATGCAGCCCCTTCAGGAATATAACATGTTCGTAAATCTCTTGTTTGATGTCATCGAAGTCGGGTAGCGTTGTAGAAAATTATCTTAGGTAGATGAGAATTGGAGTATGTATTTGAAGAAATTTTGGTCCAGAAACACTTTACTACTCCGTAGACCGTAGTAGCCAAGCATTCTTTTATTCAATTTGAACCTTAGAGTTTACAAGTAGATATCTTGTATTCCTCTCATGTATTTCGTATGTTGGTTATATTTATAGTTGTACAAACGGTGAGAATATTTCAGAAGTAATAAAATCATTAGGTTACAATTTTCATCTTTTATTGATGAACCACTTGCCCGTTCACTTGTGAATTTTTGTTTGAAATTTGTTTCTGTCTTCGTCTACTCATATTTTGTTTTTGTAAGTTTTGGATGAATAAATTATTGAAAGAAAACTGGATGGGCCGAAAGTAAGTGTGCGATAATAAAGTTGTGGTCCACTTGGTATAGAGCAATTTTGCTTTAAGGGACACCCTTTTGTGAAAAGTAGAGCAAATAAATAGGGACAAAGAGAGTATACGTTTGGACAACCTTTACCGCCAATATAAACTTCATAGTATTGCTAATTTTATCGATCAATAGATACTATAGCTATCTATGTACTAGCTAGTTGAGCTACAATTCCCTAATTTCCCTAATTTTGAAAATTCTACTTCATTTTGTAGAATTAGAAATATTGAAAAAGGTTAAACTAAAAAAGCCTTGATGATCTTTAATTTTTAAAATAGTACAAAATTTGGGTGTGGCAAGTTTGTGCGTCTTAATATCATGAGTACTCGGTATACATTGGTGTCACATGATTCACCTCGACGTAGGACCTATTGACCTATTGTGGTTGTAGAGGTATACACATTACTGGATCGAGATGTCATATTCCATGGCCGGTTATTGAGATGTGCAAACAGTCAAAATAGCACAGCTAAGTTGAACATTTGTACACTCATGAATGAAAACTTTTTATTTTGCCAAAAAATACAATTTTTTTTAGACAAATTTACAACGTTAACCCAACTTATTAATTAAAAATGTCGAATTCGCCCATTTGCAAAATATGAGGTGTTTCGCAATTTGGGTGTTGGTGTACATTATAGAGCGGAAAGAGCATTTTGTTATGCACTGCTTATAGCTGAAAGAGTACATACCACTTATACCAGTACCGGTGCAAGGTCTGCAACAACAAAACCATGATCTCATTCTCATTTCTCTTTCTCTTTATATACTCTACACAAATTTCATTTCTCAACTGCATATTTAGGGCTATTCATGGAGTGATTTAGAAAGAAAAATAGGCCAAATTTGTGGGTTTTTGGAATAGAATGTGGCCAATAGTATATAGGTTTTGGAGCCTCAAGTTTGGTTTGGAGTATCTGGGTCAAAAATGCCGTTTTGCTGCCTTGGTTACTATGCAGGTCTCTCTTTCTCTTTTTTTTTTTTATGAAATTTTGAATTTTTGAACAATTTTGTATTTTCTGGGTTTGCATAATTTTATATTACATGTTTTTTTTCTGGTTAGTTTGTCTTGGAGTTACATTTTATATTATTTACTTTTCTGGGTTGATTTCCATATTTTATATTGCATACTTTTATTGGGTTAATTCCCAGAATTTGTGGCCTTTTTTAAACTGTATGATTATAATTTTTTTGGGATTTTTGTGACATGAAGTTATGATTGAAAGCATTTTTAGTAGTATTGCTTCCAGATTAATTCAGGGTTTCTGATTTTAGATACTTTAATCTTCAATTTGTCCCATAAATATTTAGAATATAGATGATGTTAAAGATAAAAGTAGTCATTTTGGTGGATTGATTAACTTCTTGTTCAGCTGGATTATGGTGGATTTTAAACTTATGAACATCCCCAAATACCCAGTTTAGCACCTCATTTCTAAAGAAATGTTAATTTTCTAAATAACTCTTGACTTATTATATGCTTGAACAGTTGAAAGGTATTATCAGTGACACAGCGATGCATAATTTGTTTCTTAATACGGTTGGTACAGATTTTATCGTGTTGATTACCCTCCCATGAATTTTCGTTGATTGATTAGAGATACAAAAGTATTCACCCATAAATTAATGATAACATATGGCCATAGATGAACACTTTTTTAAAGATGCTTGTGATTTAACTGAATGATTGAATGTCGTACTGCTGAATTTGGATAATCATATCTCTTTGGTTGGACTACATGTAAATTCCATGTTTGGCATCCCCAGTAAATGTCACTTAATAAACCAATTGAGATTTTCACACTTAATTTGATTGAAGTAGTGATTCTTCTTATGTCTTCTGCATCATGATGCAGAAACGTAATGCAAGTCAACTTTTGCGTGGAGATGTCTTAAACACTTTATTGAAGCATGCAGTTGTTGAGAAAATGAGTTTTTTATGTCAGAGCAAGGGTTCAGAAATGGAGCCTACTTTTTCTGCTAACGAGACTCTCTTTGTTCGGAAACTCCTGTATCCGAATGCTAGGTAATAGCCTTTGATTTTCTTTTCTATTGTTTGATTGTTGTGCCTTTCTTGCTTAGATGAGAACATTGTTATAGTTTACAGTCATACGTGTTTTAGCAAGACCTTTTCTATAAGGCATAGAGACGTCTTTTGATACTGTGACGTTCTCAATTTGGACTTGTATAGGTGTCCTCTATAAATTTACTATTCTCTCTTTCTTAAGGTGTTAAAAAGACATCTCTTTCCTTACTCTTATAGAGTTTCTAATTGCAAATTGATGTCGAAGCGGTTGCATGCAGTCTAAATTGAAATTTCATTTTCAGGTTTTGGGGCAATCAAATTTACGTGGGTGATGTAGTTGTTATAAAGGATCCTTTGAATACAAATGATTATGTGGTTAGTAGATGATAGGCGTGTCGCGTACCTAACAAAAATAAACCTAACTAGACCACTACTATGTAGACGGGCAAACAAGGGTCGGATCCCAAGAGACTATGGTTCAACTAATTAAATAGACTCAAGCAATTACTAAGCAAGTAACCAAATAAAATAAGTAAGAATCAATATCTAAAAAACTAATTAAAACGATTAAATCTAAACAATATGACAATTCAATGCTAAAAACATCCAAGATCAAGCTTCACCACGAATACAATTAATGCAATAGTCGTTCTACCCCTAACACATAATTCAATTGATTAATGAGGAAAAGTAATCCATGAATAATACCAATGGTCTCTCCCGAGTTATCAATGGCTTCTCTAATCACAATCAAGCCTACTTCCGTGGAATCATGTAAATTAAAGACCTTAAGCACATTACTCTAACTTCCTAATCATCCATTCAACTACTCCCGTGATAAACTTCAAACCCTTAATTGATTTATTCAAATCCGTCAAAACCCAACTCCCGTTGTGATTAAAACAATGGATTAATAACAATACCAATTATCCCTAATCTAGTATTGGCATAAGCATAATCAATTAAGCATATCAATTACAATTATTATTAGAGAATTTAAAGAATTAATTCATGCATTAATCATATTCGGGATCCGCTAGATCTTGGAATAAAGAAACTACTCACACATATTAACAAAAGCAAAAACAATATTCAATGAAGAAAACATGATTAATAAGCAATTAAAAGTAAAGGAAGAAATAAAGATGAATATCAATTGCTTGAATGAAGAAAAGTACCAATTCTTGATAAACAAAGATCAAAACTTGAAAGTGCAAATTAATCTAGATCTAGAGAGAATATTAGGGTTCTAATGAAGGTTTTAAAGCTAGAAAATAATAACTAAGTATGTTTTAGTCGGGGTTTACAAAGGGTATTTATATCCCTTAGTTAAGAAATCCCGAAAAAATAGGAAAACGGGGTCTTCGACACTCCGCCCGGTCGGGCGCGACAGACAAACTCGCCCAAATGCTTCTTCACGTAGCCTCCTCGTGTAGTACCTCATCTGCCCGGGCTGCCCGGGCAATGCTGCCCGGTCCGGGCGGACATAAATTGAACTCTTCATACTTTCTCTCTTGTGGATTCTCTTCTTTCCTTCTTCGCCCTGGCTGCCAGGGCAATGAGGGCGGACACGGGTAAAATTCTCCTCCATCTTAATAAGCTTTCGTGGCTATCCAAAACAAGTCCAAATCATCCGGAAATCTTCATATGCCTACAAAATCAATCAAATAGACCAAGCCACACTAGAGAGGAGGATATTAGCGAGAAATAGCTCCGTAGAGCTTAGAAATCATACGAACATAGCTATAAAATGAGGGTAAAATATGGTATAGAATGTGTACATCAGTAGACTGGCTGCTGTCAGCGGAAATGAAATGATCTCCACTAACAAGGATGATGAGTCTTTTGTTTTAAAAGATGGGCAGTGCTGGGTCCTTTCTGACAACAAAAATCTGAAGCCAGAGGTAAACACTAACCTGTGGAAGCATATTTTATCCCTTTGTAAATTTTTTCACTCCAGTCCTTTACTTTATGCTAGTATTCTCTTATTGGTGAGACATAAAATGCCGCTAGAGGCAAATGCAAGCACAATGCTAATGATGCATAATTGCATATCCTTTGACATGACCACATTGTATGCATGTTGGAACTATTGCTTGTGCTAGCTACTCGTTCGGACTGTGCACTTTGACCTTTTTCACAGAATCATTGTTTCTGTGGGAAGGAATTATAAGTGAGAGTCCCTGACCGCACTGCCACACCCCCCCCCCCCCACAAAAAAAAAAAAAAAAACTTCCTTCATTGGCTCCTATATTTGCTTTTATTTTTGCCCATTTTTTTGCAGGGGTGGGTGGTTGGGGAGATGACATTGGGTTTTGAACAACAAGATTAGACATCTCTTTTAAGAACAGTAGCGAGCTACTGGATAGCCATTAACAAACTATGTTTACTTCCATAGTTTTATTGTACCATCCACTTCATTGGCTTTTATTCTATGACTTTTTGTGAGCAGACATGTTTTTGTCCATAAAGTTCAATTCATTTGTTGGACTTTTTGTCCTCCCTCACTCAGATTTGTTTTTTCAATTTAGTAGATTTCTTAAAACGACTTCCAATTTTACTTCCAAATAAAAACAACTTGCAAGTATTCTGTCATGAATAGCAACACAAATTTGTTTTCCTTTATAAAAAATAACAATATAAAAATAGAATAAGGATTGCACTGTGCTCATCAAGGCTTCACTGAAGACTGACAGTAGAGATTTTGATCATGCACATAAGCTCCCAAACATGCGTTACAGTCCTTACAGACTTCTCCTTCGAGGTCATTCCAAGTTGTAGCAGTTTAGCTGATCTATAACTGAATTACTTTGTGCTGTATATAGCTATGCACAGAAAGTTGGTCATA